TTCTCTGTACTCAGCTCCTCGTCATCATCATCACCAGAGCTACTTCCAGACATATCCTCTTCTCCAGAACACTCACGTAGCAATACCGGTACCTACACTACATCTATTACTCTAGTTGTCCAATTGTGATTCGAGTTGATATACGGCGCGTCATACAAATCACAAAAGTCAGAGTCCCTACTCTACTGCAGCACACACCGCCTCAATAAGAGCCACTTACCACTCTCCTATGCTGCCCAGGCATGTCAGAGACGGCCACTGGGGAGGAGCCGACTTTAAGTTGAACCAGCATGTGTGTTTGCTGGCATCGATAGTAGCCACCCCAAGAGTCTATCACACACGACAAAGGCAGACTGTAGAAGACCTGAAACGATGCAGATTCGAGCAAAGGCCTCCCACCGGGCCTGTACTCTTAGGAAATCCCTGTGCATACGACCACCTTCAACTTGGCCAAATTTATGTCTGAGCTCAGCAAGGAAGCCGTAATTCAAGTTACAGTAGTCGTCCTCGTGATTACCACGGAGAATGTACACCTGTGGGAATTGAACCATGGACCTCTCGATTACGAAACGAAAGCACATGCAACCTACACTTTGCGGACACAGCAACTTGAATAGGAATAAAAGTATGAAGATCTCCAAAGCATGGCCTCCGCGATCAGCAATGTCACCATTGAAAAGGTATCTGCCATCCACGCAGTTTCGATCCCTGGTATCGGCATTTCAAATACTACACGTTATTCTTGTTAGGTACCCCATGTTTGAACAGCATCCACAAGACATCCTCCAGCTGTCCATGAGTGTCACCAACTACAACTAACCGCCCGTCCGCTGGTACCGTTACAGAAATAAGAGCAGTCTGAGAAATGCATCAGCCTAGGTTCGAACCAGGGACGTCACTAGGACAGCCGTGAAACTTACCGGTGCCTCCATTTCTAGTAGTTCATACATCTTGTCAAGGAGACGCACCACCGCTTCAGGACTACAAATCTGAGGACAGCGTAGCGTCCTACTTATCCAGCAGCGAATTTCGTGGCGCGTGACGATTCTACCGATCTCACCTCTTCACAGTTGCGGTCAGCTACGATACAGTTGGTCCCCATCGCGACGTCCGCCACCC